CAAATTTTTCATTCAAGTCTTAAATATTTTAGAAGAGTGTCGGAGTTTGAATATGTAAATATTAATGTAATAAAGGCAGGTAACACTTGTCACATGTAAAGAAAAAGTTTTAGTTGAGAATATAAAGAATACCTGTTTCAATTTTATATAAAAAGATCGTTTCTGTTTTTTGTTTTTAGTACTTCTATTCTAGACGCAGATATTGTAACATCTTTGGCTCTTTATAAACATTAATTATTGTTTTTTTTTAAATAGACCCTCACCACCAGAGCTCAGTCTTCTTAAAAGATTAGAACCATCCAACAGAGAGGTATGAAAAATATGAGTAAAAAGGTGTTTAAATTCAAGTTATGCTGATACAATAAAGTTCATTGAGATTTATCGCAGTCATGAGTGTTTAGGGATGGGATACCGAAAATGTAAATTATAAGAACCGATGCACGTAATGCTGCAGCATTTTCACAGGAATTTGAAGTTGACGGTTTCGGACCGAAGGAAATAACAAACAAAATAAAAAATTTAGACTAAATTAATTTTTAATTTATTTAATTTTTTATTTAATTTAATTTAACACACCCCTCACTCCACCCTGCACTCATGTTTGCCAATGAAGAGATAATTGAGTAGAGATAATTGCGTACAAGAATTGCGTAAGAAATTTAATGTACGTGCTGTTTACATCAATAATAGTTTTAAAAGGAAACTTTTCCCATTGATCAAGAATGTTACGTTTTGTTTAGACCATGCAAATCATTTATTGCGTCGACATAATTGTATGCTACAGGCAAGAAAAATGGCATCGTGTAAATGGCCTTAAGGGAGCGTTCAAGTATTACGTCACGCAATTTTTGGCGATTATTGACACCCCCCCACCTAAGTAACGCGTAACGTTTTTCTGTACCCAAAAGTAAAACGTTTCGTGATTACCCAGTGACTTTTTATACCTAAAAGTTACCATAACGCGTAATTCAATCCTCGCCCTTACATGAGGGAACCCCCCCAAATTCGTTATGTAATACTTGAACGCTCCCTAAGCCGATCATTGCATTTTTATGATAATCGTTTTGTCTTCTCACTAATTAATAACATGAAACACAAAAGCTCTGAAATAAGCTTTAGTTCGAGAAACTGACAAAGCATTATTGCCTTTATAGCATTCGTTCGTTACTTGAAAAACATTACTGTGGGACACGTAATAGAAATTAAGTTAGGCCTACGAAATGTATTCTTTGTATGGTAAGCGCGAGCTTAAAGGACTTTGGACCTTACCTACATAGTTTTATAGTCCAGAATTAATTGAAACAATTATTCACAGCTTCCGACAATTGAGATGAAGGAGGAAGTTGGTTTTAATTTCTATATCAAGCGAATTTAGATTTTATTTCGAGAACAAGTAAGTTTATGTTGGATATTGTAAGGTTTGAGTGGATTTTGGTGTAGGCAGTGAGGGCCACTTCCTGCTTGGTGAGCGTAAATTGTAGTACATAATACAAAATAAAGTTTATTTGGCTTAGCTAACAGATTTTCTGTTTTAGCAATTTGGATCATGGGAAATGAAACAGATATGGCGAAAGCTGACTTGTGTAAGCTAGAGGCCCTTGAATGAAGACTCTGAATCTAGCACCCGTACACGAACAATACGTAAGATCGAAAAGTATAACGTAAGAAACAAAACAATAACGTGTTGTATAGAAAACTATAGAATCCCTCCGTGGGAATGTTTTTGGAGCTAAACGAAAACATGAATATACTTTAACATAGTATACTAAATAAACTCTCATAAAGTGATATCGCAACACATCGCAAAATGCTAAAGGTTGTTGTCATTGTTATCTTCATTAAAATGGAGATGAACAGGGCACGTTTTACAGATGGACGGAGGTCAAAAATGTAACCGAATAGACTGCCCTAATAGAACAGAGAAACAAGGGCAGGCCGAAAGATGGTTCGACGAGATTGAAATGGTGGTAAAAATTTGGTACTGATAGTGAAAGATAAAATAGGGTGGAAAAAGATGGAGGAGACGGTCTCCTGGATGAGGAAAATCTTAGAATAACAAAATTGTGTAGATGTTTCTTTTTGTATATTGTATGTTACATATCCATTGCTTCCCTTTTTTCCTTTTTTCTTTTTATTGCTTATACTTGCACGCCTCTAACAAAACATCATTATAAAAGCTCGATATCTCATATCAGGTTGATCAAATCCTCAAATTAGTAATCGGGCCGATTCAATGGTCATTTAATTAAGTTCAATAATTGTAATAATTTAATTAAAGTAATTTAAATATATTTGTTTTTTTTTTGGATTCACGGCTAGCCCTCACTCAATTTGTACGTAAATACAAATAAAAAATATTATTTCGCGTAATTATACCTGGGTTTAACAGAATAGCAAAGTAAACCAATAGTAGTTATGGGTGCGTATAATTTATAATATCAATTTATTAGTGAAAATTGGATAATTGTAAGTATTGTAGCGACATCTACATTTTACGGCTACAATCACTCGGATGACGTCACCTGAAACCCACTAACGAAGTTATTTCTGCCGCTAAGGATTTACAATTTTTTTTTATTTACACGACCTTAGCCACTGGGGCATTCGTGCCAATCAGTGGTTAGACTGGACGAGGATCCCCCTTTAGGCTCAGGAGCAGGAGCACAATTCTTATACCACATAAGTTTGTCCACACCTATATTTTAGCGCCATTAAAGGTTTTTTTAGCTTATTTTGTTCTTTTTTCCTTTTTATTTATTCTCCATTGTATTGCTTCTAAAATTGTCTTGGGCTGTAAATCATCGCAGCGCATCTTCCTCTTAAACATGTGTACGTATATATCAAGTGTATATTTGTGTGAGCATACCTCTGTTCTGTCCCTTGGATTTAATGTTTTGTTTGTTGATTAAAACGAAACGCGTAATCGTTTTCCTTTTTAATTTTGCTTTCTGCTCCTGGGTCGTAATATTTGCATAATCTTAGTATTCCACACTGTTACATTCGTTTGTAGCTTTTGAATAATTCTCTAGCGCTAGTACGTCACCCCTGTTTTGTAATACGAAGCCTATAGACAAACTCTTCAAGCTAATATATTCATCTGAATAAGGATTAGACCTTTATTAATTATTCAAGAGACAGCTGACATCCTCTCATCTTATTATACGTAACCTTGATCGGATCATGTAATCCCATTAGATATAAATAGGTTTTGTGTTATGTTTACACCGCTTCTTAACGTAATGTACCCTTTTGTTATACATAGCGTGATTTTTATAAACAGATTCATTTAATTGCATTATTTTTAGTGTTTGAAAACTGTTATATCTTTATGAATAAGTTATTTTTATTATTGAATTTTGTTTTGATTATTTGCTTGTTTAAACCATAAATAGCAGTTACTATCAAGCACTAAGAAAGTAATGTTTAAATGCTTTTATACATCAATTTAGAATTGCGAGCGGTATGACAGAACCTTTAACTGTCAATTTGCATAAACAACCATAGAGCCGGGTGATACGTTGACCAAAGAGTCAACAATCAGTACCTACACTACTTTTATATGTTTTCACAATTTTTTATTATCTTTTTATATACCTATATATAAACTCAACGTACAGATAACACAAAGAAATCACTTAGATGCCTGAAGAATTTGAAGATACAGATGTGATACATTGAGATTTGCTCTTAATATTGTCTGGGGTTAAGCGATACAATTTGAACACGTTAGAAGATACTGTTCCATTTTGAACAGAGATAACTTTTCATGATGATACATATAAAGTATTCTAAAAGTTTTTAACTGCTCTCACTTAAATAAATTAATAAAAAATTCGATTATTTTTGTAAAATGAAGTTTTATTTCATTGAGCGACTTTTTTAAAATTAGTCGAACATTACCTTCGAGTAACGTAAGTGCCAGTATAAACCTACATGGGAGACATAAAAGCTAGTTTTAATATTAAAAAGAAGCACGCATCCAGGCACTTGAATGACGCCGAGGCTTGAATGGCCTTTTGTGAAAACTTGGAGACGCTTTGCTTAAGAAAATGTTAACCGACTTGTAAAAACTCGCGTTCTATCCTAGATGTTTCCGAGTGTATTTTTTGTTTGGCTTATTTAATTTTACAATCGAAATGTAGATGTTGCCAGTTTTCAATTTATTTATGGTGAACGGGTAAAATAATTTAATTGAAAATTAGTTTTTGTGTGCAACACAAATATTTTGTTATCTATGTGACTTGATTGAGGTATGAATGATTCAAATTTCATCAAAGTTTAAGCTGTCAATTAAATTTTCTAATCTGAAAAATTCTGATTCGTTTTAATTCCATATGTTGTAACTGAAATGTAATATGTTAATATTTTATTGTAGTGTGTGTGTTATCTTATGCTGAAGCTTAAGTTAAACCATGAAAAGATTTTCTAGGCCACATTTCGCCATGCCTTACGGCTCCTTCATAGAGCGTCTATGTCCAATAGAACCTCTTTTAACTTATACTGCTGCATTATATAATCGCTTTTGACTGTTTTTGAAGTTTATAATTTTATCTTAATCTTTGGTCAGTTTACTGTGCTTTAACTATAACTAAATAAATATGTACTCTTAGTGAAATATTTTAACACCTGTTTTAAACAAAAAAATTAACAGAAAAAAGTCATAAGAGACGGAACTTGTATACAGAAAATGAAAACTTTGACACAAGTTACTAACTGATTAACACAAGATATCTAAGTTCATTTCTTTCTTCTCTAGGTACGTAATATTTAATATATTAGATTTAATCGTAAATTATCCGTCTATCTGTCCGACTTCGAGAACATTCGAACAACTCGTAGTAATCTGACGTTATAAATGGCTAGATAGTAATTTACTTTGTCTTTTTGCAGGTGTCATGACGCTGCAAAGCCGCCCCGACCAGTCTCACAATTGTGATAGACGTTCCTCTAGATAATTACGTCAATTAACCAAATTATATATCTACCAAAGTTAGGATAAGATGTCACAACCGATATACAGTCAGGTCGCACCGAAACAGATAAAGAAAAAACCTAAACCCCGGGATTTTGATCCCTTAAATTACAATCATGGAGGAAATGTTCAAATTCTAAATGCGTCGCAGGAGAGTAGACTGGAGAAGATGGAGAAAAGAGAGGGTAGGAGAAAAGAAGAGACTAGGAGGAGAACGCAAAGGGATCCTACCGAGGGAAAGGTATGTGGCGAAAAATTACAGACAGGGTTTTTGAAGTGAAACTTCTTTAGGTGCATGAGGGTAAAAGTTTTACGGATGAAACGCAATAATAATAATATTAGCGTCACGAAGATGTGCAGCGTTTGTGTCGAAGAAAAGGGGGAGAGCGATTGAGACCGATTGAGAGAGAGTGAGAAAGGGCGAACGTAGCAATATACGAAAATATACGAAAAGCAATTTTTAAAACTAAAATTTCGTAAAGAGAATTTATGAAATATTAGTATTTTATATTTTTTTTTTATATTTTATTCGTCATTTGAGATATCAATATATAATAATTACTTTGCATAATTTTAATTTTAAAAATAGAATTTTGTTTATTTTTAATTGGTATATCTATATTCACAAATATAGGTGTACAAATACATATACTGGTACATGATCGTCTATTGGGGCTTTTACCTTAGTAATAATTAATTTAATGTGTATTTGTACGCACGCACTTTTTTGTGTTTATATCTTAGCCTTACTGAAATTATGTATTTTAGGTGGAGGCTTATTTACGTCAGAATCAAGTCAGTATACGACAACAACAGCATCGGCATTCCGCGGTGCGGCAGGCGGAACATAGAGTTAACTTGAGGTTAGTGCAGTTTCTATAGTATCCTAGTGATTTGAGCCAAGCGTGTATCTGCGACTCTTTTATTGATCAATATGGTGGACACATTTTTTATTAACTAGGGGTTGAGGATGTTAAAGTTATAGTATAATAGTCATAAATATTGTATTTTATATGTAATAGGAGGCAAACGGGCAGGAGGCTCACCTGATGTTAAGTGATACCTCCACCCATGGACACTCACATTGCTAGAAGGCTCGCAAGTGCGCTGCCGGTCTGTTAAGACTTGGTACGCTCTTTTCTTGAAGGACCCTAAGTCGAATTGGTAAATTAAATAAAATTAAATTAGCAGCTCTATGTGGGCGTATTTGGAACTAAACAAGCATCTTTCGAGTATTTTTCTACTATAGTAGCCTGTGAATACCCGACGTTATAACAAAATTATCATAAATTACATCCGAACAAGTACACCAGTACGGTGGCCAATCTCAATTGTCTGGAAAGCCCGGATATTTCCTCGATTTAATTCTTACCCCCTAATGGTGATACGCGGCAAAATTGCTAGGATAGCTAGTTAAACGGCGCTCCTTAGAAAGAGGCTAGGCTATTGATTGAACGGCTAATTAAACTAGCTGTCTGCGACATAAACACCTTATGAACGACGTGAACCTGTAGAATATCGAATATAAGTGAAATTTTGTACTATGCCTCTCCGTCCATATAAAACGTAGCCTTTGCATTAGTTTGAGTTATTAACTGCATTGAGCTTCATGGTACCAATACTACTTATGTAACCGTAATTAATTTTACTTTTACAGATCTCTACCTCTCAACGAAGTGACCACTCGTGGACACGATCGAACGCCGACTGACAGACATCGTGGCTTTATTGATAGGAGAGAGCGAGATAGGGACAAGGAGAAAGAACGGGATTTTGATTTTGATGGTGGTAAGTTAATAAAATATGGCAAAGGTTTATTTTTCTTAATATTATTATATATTATAGTTGGTTAAAAGTTGGACGGCACTAATAAATATATTGTTACGAAGGGTTGACAGAAATGTATTCGAGTGGTACAGTTTAAACCCGTTTTCAGAGATTAACATCGAAGAGATAAAGTGCGAATAGTGAAGACAAGTGATAGGTACTGTGTGAAGTGCACGTAATTAAAGTAATTTTAGTGACAGAATTTTATGTGTCATAATTAGTGTATTTCTGCGCGTAATTTTTAGTGTAAATAAATTCCTCGTTGATTTCTTAAAAAATAAACCCTTGAAGAGATCTACGGCGTTTTCTATCAGATCCCCTAGCTCCCTAACAATAAAATAAAAATCTGTTGATATACAGCTTATTTTTTACTATTTCAAGTATTGTTTACTATAATTTTGCAAAATGATTTCATCTTTTTCTTTTTTGAAGGTACACCGCTAAGCCCGATAGCGCCGCGGGCGGAAAAGGATTCTAGTCGTCCCGTTCGCAAGTCCTCATCATCGCAGCGTGTGAGCGAGACGTCTATATCAACAGACAAAAGACGTTTCTTCTGTAGAGAGTGGGTTTTTCAAAAGATAGCGTATTGTCTGGAACAAAGGGCAGTTAGTAAGACGTGTGGAGCGTTGATTCTAGGTCAGTAGTCTTATTTCCAAAGTGTCCATATCATAATCTCATACCTGTGAAGGGGGTTCCTACTATTTTTTTTACATGATTTGGTTATGCACTTCTTACACTTTACCCATCATATTTATTTCCTTTTTTCGAGAGCCATTGTAAGCTGGCCGCCCGTTGCATCCCTTATAATTTTGATGTATTATGTTATTTGTTTTTATACAAATGTAACGAAGTGGTATAAAATTTAGGAAATTAAAGGCATTATTTTTAATTTTTTTTAGTATGTTACCAGGTTACCTATTTGGCTAGGAAAAATATGTTTGCCTTTACCTAATACTTTGATGAGTGGGAAATTTAAATATATCTAACACCATGATGCCGTATTGGTTTAAGCCTATTATGTACAAAAATAAAACAATTAAAAGAGTTCGATTAGAACAATATTGAACAAGAAAACCACCATTTCTAAGGCTTTTGTAATACAAATTATTACCTTGAAAAACTTATACTATTCTTAAATCAAAACAATACCGCGATTCAAGATTCCACAGGCGACATCTATTTGTTGAACATGAAACTTTAATTATTTAAACAAATATATATTTATATATGTTACAATTGTATGTATTTCAGGTGACGCCGGAAGCGGCAAGACGGCGATATGTCAAGAGTTAAGTCAACCAGGTCCAGGGCCGCAGGCGAGGCAACAACGCGCATTGAATAGAAGACTTTTGGCTAGACATTTTTTACAGGTATACATTAAAAACTTACTTGTAAGCTTTGTGTTCACAGGTTATTTGAGGCATAGACGAATAGGATAAATACTATTTTCTCGGTTAATAGAAATACAAATGAGGCTCACATAAATATAATTTGTGCCCAGTATAATGATTTATTTTCTCAATTTGACATTTTTAATAAACAAAGGCCTATAAAAATTGTATGCCGTTCATGTTAATTATTTGTTAATGCATACGTTATTAAAGTCAAAATACGTTATTACCATTTTCAATTTGTATATAATATGACCTTAGTAACTAGTGAATTCCTCCAGTCTTCAAATACTGCACAGCGAAAACATCACATTTCAAGTTACATTTGGTTTTGTAATTATTATAAAAGCTGTGGCTACCTTTAAAAAATAAATAAACTGGACATGTTACCTGGCTAAAAAGTAAGTAAGTGGCTGGTGAGAAAGTAAAACCATAGAGAAAATATCGTTCATTTGTTTGTGATTGGACAAACGGACGTAATATGACATATGTCGTATTTGACTTGCTGTTGATTAACAATCAAACGGAACGTTGGACCAAAGTCAAAGGCCTTTCCCACTAGGGATAAATTAATATCATCATCATCTTACCGAACGTACCATTCATCTTCTCCTCTTCTTCTTTTTACATTCTCACCCCACAGATATTGCGAGGTGGGAAAAAGCATGACGGTACTTTGGCCAATATATTTATTTGCTACTTATTGTTTAATTTTACAGGCACCCGGTGAAGAAATACAGCGCCCTGGCGAATTTGTTCGTTCACTTGCGATGCAAATACTCAGTCATTCGTCACACGCGAAACAATCCGATAGGGATCAGTCGCCTAAAGATGATCAGCGTATGTTGAATAACAGGTAGTGTCTTCTTTTTTTATATAAAACAGGGTGCAAACGTGCAGGAGGCTCACCTGATGTTAAGTACTACCGCCGCCCATGGACACTGAATGCCAGAGGGCTCGCGATTGCGTTGCCGAGGAATTGATACGCTCTTTTCTTGAAAGACCCTAAGTCGATTTGGTTTGGAAATACTTCAGTGGGTAGCTGGTTCCCTATAGTAATAGTCGCGTGCATGGCAAAAAACTACCTTAAATAACGCTCAGTTGTGGAACGACAGACGTGGAGGTGATGTGTCCAATTATGAAACTCAGCTGCAGGTATTAATCTGAACACTCGGATCCGTGTTCAGAGTTGTTCGGATTAATACAGGTCCCATAATGATGCAAAAAGATCCCATATCTCGCTCAAAAGTAGATTGGTCTATCTAAAATCTAAGTAATATAACATCTAATGTTAACGTACCTACCTACTATAAATCATAAATTGTATGACTTGTCCTTATAACTGTCAAAACAAATGAATGTGAACTTCTTAACATTCTTTTGTTTATTCGTATGACGTAGACGAACAATTGATTCTTCAAAAATGTTACAATTACTCGATCAGGTTTTTTAGAAATAGCTGCAATTCTACAAAAAATTAATAATTATAGAAATATTGCCGACCGTATCTAAGGTTTTATTAGATTTTATAGAAATTCGGAAAGGTTCTAGTAAAATATAATTAATTTCAGGCATAATTCAGAAGAAAATTTAATACAAAGATTTCGAGAGATGGGCGAAGACACGGAGGATAGTTCTAAACCACTTTTGGGGGATAGTGAAGGTATTATTTTAAATTTATCGGTTCTGAAATTATTTAAGTATAGGTTAACTAGTTTTTATAGGAAGTTTTGCAAAGCTTTATATAAAAAATTAAAGTTCTTAGCTGGTCAGAATTCTAAAAAAATATATTTTTTAAATTTAAATTATGTATATTTAAATTATATATTATACTAGTGGACCCCACAGACGTTGTCCTGCATGATATTTAAAGCGATTAGGATATTAAGCAAAGTATGAAAGTACCGACTGCAGTGCCATCTGCCGGGCTGATTTGTGAATCTAAACCATTCCCAGATCCCCTTGAACACACACAAAAAATTTCATCAAAATCGGTCCAGTCGTTTGAGAGGAGTTCAGTCACATACACACGCACAGAAGAAATATATATATTAAGATAAACAACGGTCAAGATCATTACTTTTTTTAACAGGCAAAGACATTATCTATACTTTAAAAAATCATCTGACAGATACACAAATTTGTATAGAAAAAGTGATGTTACGAGCGTACTAATATAAATAATGTAAAAAAAATGTTAGTACCCAGCTGGTGTAACCATGGCCTGGCCTTCACAGATTAAAGGATTGAGTTATCCAAATAAAAATGGACTTTTACCATATTTCCAGATCGTACTGACGATGATGACGTGGGCAGCAGTCGGAGGAATAAGACCATAGATAGACTGCACGAGCAAGACTCTTATATGGATTGTATGGCGGATGGAAATGATGTAAGTAGTGTCAAGTACTAAAGACATTGTAGGCCATTTTACTGCGGACAAATATCATTCATAATAAATAATTTAATAATGCGTTTTAAATATATATAATAGTTTTACGATAAATTAGTTCATACCCATTTTATGGAGCAGCCATTGTATCCCTGAGGTAGTATGTTCGAACTTTGCGCCAATGGACTTTCTGTCATGAGCGCACAACACTCGCTCGTACGGTGAAGGAAAACATCGTTTAAAAACCAGCTAGCCTTAGAAGTCGACAGCGTGTGTCAGGCACAAAAGAATCACCTACTTGCCTTTTAGAAAAATCAAATGATCTCGAAACAAATACTGAGGCCTGAAGACTAAAGGTTGTAGCGCCACTAGGTCTTTTTAACCGCAATAAATAGCTGTAAAATGTACATCGTAATTGTTTGTTTGTTGGCTTTACTTTGGATTATCTCATGGAAATAATCGGTGCATTATCGCGAGCATCAAAACACCGGTAAACAATTAATAAATTCGCCTCATCTACAGGTACCAGAAGTTTTACCGAAATCAAACATAAAACCAACGAACCCCTTCCACGACGACGACTTTCGACTCTACGCGAACCACGAAAACGTGTTCCTCAGAAATATATCGCAGAGACAGTCGAAGGAGTCCCGAAATTCTCGCCTCTTACGCCAAAGTTCCGAGCCGTTGAACGAGAAGAAACCAACGCTGCTTCAAAAGAGCCTGTCTACGGACACCGAAGAGAAGAAACCGGATTCACCACCGAAATCGAGAATACCGGTCGCGAACTTCCGTTATCCGAATAAAACGGATCTGAAACCGGAGTCGCCGAAGAAGACGGAGGAATTGCCGGAGTATACCAATATAGTGCACCCTGTTAAGGATGATCCACAGACGGATTTGGAGAAGTTGTTAGAGAAAAAGGTTGGTGAATTCTTCTAGATAAATTTTGGTTATGGAAAGTTACTTAATTGGTGTTTAGCAATCTATAAGAATTAAGAAAAGTTCTTGATAGTTTTCATTCGGTTAGGATTTTAAATTCTCTGAGTATTGAATAGAAGTCAAAAAGATTCTCAAGCGATGTGACTTTAATAAACAACTTTTTCGTAATAGTTTTTGAAGTGAAAACTTCTTTAGCGGCGTTGTAAGGTCACCCGGGGCGAAAGCAACTAAAAATTTATAAATTGGTACTTTGTCGTCCTCTACCATTAGCTACCTAATTCTGATGGTTGTTTAAATGAACTTACTTTATTCCATGCCTTTCATTGAATAGTTCCGACATAAAGTACGTGAAAAATAGGCTTAAGTTATTGAATAATTTACATTATTGTTGAATAAGAGCACTAAAAGTTACATTTACCCCACCTTGAGGCTAATGCAACTATCAGTTAAATGACCTTGTTGAATGTAATCTATACGTTTGGAATAAGGGTATATATAGTTTCACACTACAGGTATCTGAAATTGGTATCTAGGTGCTGGGAATAAGGCTCAGTTTCCAGAAAAATTAATTTAAGACTTTATGCAGGACTGCCTCCCATACTTGCTAGTGTTGGACAGATACGTACTACTAAATTTATCGATAAATCTTCGTGAAAAAAAATTCGATGAAAGGACCGAAAAATTATTAGTCTGATTTAAGGTAAAGAATTAAAATGCGATTCATTAAAAAATAAATCTTCATAGTAAACATAGGTTTTAACATTTCTTATAATCAAATAAACATCTAAGGACAGTAAGTATAATAGATAACATGAAAGTAAGTACAAAAACGCAGTCTTGCTAAAGTTATTTTTGGGAATTAAACCACCACATTTTTTTATTAAGTCTAGCTGACTTAATAATATTGGCATTTAATAATGCCACATTATGTGAGTAATCATTAAACCTAGGATAATATTGATCAGTCCAGTAATTCTACTGCCAATTTCTGAATTGAGAGATTCACTGGGCAGATGCGTAAGTATCGTTCTGTCTCTGCAGATTAACAAAATCGTAACTTTATGTAAAGGCTTTCATAGTTTTATAGTTTGAATGTATTTTGTGCACGCCTAATCTGCCTTTCAATAACACGTATTATTAAGTTTTCTATGTAAATAAATTAAATTAAATTATTAACAAAAACAATATATAAGTTTAAAAAAATACGTCACAGATACCAAGGTAAATATTTTATGCAAATAGATAGTGAACTTCAGTTGTTGAAATATCGACACGGAACTTCACTAGTGATTTGATTTTTTCATACCAAATACAATGGGGCTATTGCAACTGCAAAAATAGTTGCAATTACCCATCTGCACAAAAAATTTGAGGTTAATGTAACTATGTCAATAAAATGTTAATAATAAAAGCCTTAGCCTTTAACCAAAAATATACCAAAAGCACTTACGTTTTATCTTTTATGTTAGGATGAACCTTCAATTTGGCTGGAAATAACGTGAAATATTTTTTGGATGGCACAAAACTAAACAGACGGCGCCGCAAAACTTTGCTCCAAAATGGCGGTAGTCAAAAAATGCTCTGTCAGTACAACAGTTAGCGACTTAAAAGCTCCATCTAGAGTTTACTTTAAAAAAAAGTAATAATTGCTCTACTCTTCAACAGATGGCACGTGTTACAAAAAAAAATCATTAAATTGTGAATAAAATCAATTAGTCACTTTAGCCCGCATTAGTTGCTTTCGCCCCGGGTGACCTTACACTTTTTTTTAAATGGGTAAAAATTGTAAAACCCCCCCCCCACCCCCCCCCCCCCCCCCAAAATGGGTAAGACGGATGGTGAGTAGACAGCTGGCGCGGCGTATTTTAATGTAATATAAATTGTCATGTTTGTGTACGATAGCGCAATAAATAAATATTGTATTCTACCACATAAATGATAGTACTTTTATGCTGATTATTAAAGCAATTCGTGCAAAATTATTCCCTAGCCATTCCAAAATATTAAAAATGCACAACGTTAATATTCATTTTTTAACCTTGTTCTGCAAAATATATATATAGCTATCTATAAAATATGTATCTTTATTAAAATCCGTCATATTATTTATTTTTATTTTTATTACTATTTTTACTTTAGCTAGTAAAAAATTAAGTCTATTGGCATGAATATAATATTAAAAATTGGTAAAAAAATAAATAATTTTCAGATATATAGATATATATTTATAGATACAATATTAAACCGATTTAAGAGAATGCTTTTCCTTTTAGCGTTCACAAGCAGAAGAAGCTCCGCCCCCAATTCCCACGCTACCAATAAGTCCACGGACATTAATATCAAACGCCTATTACGACAAACTGCTGTCGGACTGTGAGATACAACAGGCGTTGTTGCCTCAGAATTTAGAGAAAAATCCCGATGAGTGCTTCAAAAAGGCTATACTATTTCCGTTGCTGGAAATTGACCCTCCGAAACAGTGTTTGTTTTTGCTCGTGGACGGTATCGATGAAGGGGGTAATGGTAAGATATATACTCACATAAGACTTAAGAACAGTTGTATATATACATTTATTATCTAAACACAAACGTTGATTATTGTATGAGTTAACCAAAATTGATTTCGACTTAATTTAACTGAACTCTGTCTTTAAACCAAAACACTTTTATTTGATTGACTCCAATTAATTCAAAAGTTCGGGTTCAATTTCTGGGGATACAAGAGGTTTATGATTTTTGGAACACAGAAACAGTGTTAATTTTTTTTACATATCTTAACTATTGTATTTCTAATTGATCGATATATATTTTCAGGAAAATCGGAGGATGAATGTAGCGTGGGAGCATTATTATCGCGACACCAACACTTGTTGCCACATTGGCTTTTATTGGTCGCAACTGCGAGACGACACTCTCGGCATCTCACTAAGATGTTCACAGGTAAATGTTTAAGAAAGTAATAATATATGGTGATTTATGTGAACCGTAGATTAGTACAAATAAATCGATGAAGGTAATTTTTATATAAAAATTGAAAATCCCTTTAAATTTATATTTCGTGAACTTAGGTTATTTTTATGATAAATAAGTATTATAGGTATATCTGGATTAGTAAAACTTTATTCACGTGATTTTATTAATTAACTACCTTATTTTGTAGGTTTTCGCAAGATAACTTTAGATGAACTTCAGCGTGCACACGTCTCCGCTGACGTACAACGGTACGTGCTCGCGCGACTGGACAGCGAGCCAAGATTACGGTACGGTTCAATACATGTTCTATCATATTATTGTAATATTATTATTATTTATTAACGAATCTATTAATTATTCTGACTCATCAGAAATGTGCGCTAACCGCTATTGTGTTGCGTAATTATTTAAAAACCAATGTCTCCTATAGTATTTAATTAAATAAAGGGCAAAGCAAAATAAACAAAAATTGGCTTCCTCTGAAGAAAAAAAAACAATTGAAATTCTTTCCTATATTACAGAAGCCGCGTGTCTAGTGATTCAACGGCAGCTGCTGCGGCAGCGGCGGCTCTTGACCATCTCAGGATCAAGAGCGACGGTTGCCTTTTGTACTTGGAGAAGGTAATTATTAAAACCGTTCAGTTAGAGCAGTGTTGGCCTCGAAGCTAGGCCCGACCAATGCGTTCGACTGACGGCTGTGCGCCAATTGGTTTTTAATACACGTTCATACGGTGAAGGAAAACTCCAGACTTAATGGTGTGTTAGGCACAGAAGGCTGATCACTTACTTGCCTCTTAAGAAATAAAAGATGATTCAGAAACAGATATAGAAATTTGAGTATGAAAAATGACCAGTGAAATGAATTCAGTCACTACATAAATATATTTTTTGCAGGTACTAGATGGCGTTGCTGACGGTTTCATAGCTTTGCGCGAAATAAGGGAAATTCCTGGAACCCTAAATGGATTGTATCTATGGCTGGCGCAGAGATTGTTTCACGGTCGGAGGTTTACTAAGGTAATATGTTCTTAAATTTAAAAAAAAAAGTTAAGTTTGCACAAAAAGTAATTCAATTCAAAATTGTAAATCATTTTCTCATATAGGTAACAAAATGTACACTTATAAACGTCAAAAAATAAATATATATGAAATATTTTTTACATTACTTATTTTACATTTACTGCCAGTTCTCAAATCAAGGGCGTAGAACGGAAGAGAAGAACTGGCAATAAACTCTCCTCTAAAATAAATGGTGGTACTATTTATTAATCTAAGGTCTATTTTATTCCAGCTATTAAAAAAACTCCTTTAGTTTGACAGGATAAGGGTCGAATTACCCATAACCCAAACATATGCCAACGAAGTCTCTTAAAATTAAACTCAACCAAAAACGCGATTTATTACATGTTTCCCTTAGAATATATTTTGCGAGAAATCGCTGTAAGCGTGATCGCATTAAGCTGGTTTTACGGTATATCTAACTTTTCCAGGTACGAATGCTTCTCGACGTGTTATTAGCAGCACGTTGCGGCGTCACGGAAGAGATGTTATACAAATGCCTTCTTACAAAGGAGTACAGTGTCACAAGAGAGGACTTCAATCGAAGGCTGCATCTCTTGCGACGGTAAGTCTAATGACAGTTCTATGAACATATAACCGTTCGTGATTGGTTGGACGTAATTTTTTTCTTTAAAAATGAATGCGTATTTTGATTAATTATAATGACTTATTTATTATGTAGAATACTATATAACTCATTATTAATATAACTCTTCTGTTATCTTCTTGTTACTTTGCTTTGTGGGAATCTCTATAAGTCGATTAATTTATATCTGGAATTTGTCGTCTTCGCATAGGTGGCCATATTTTTTTAATATTTTGAAAATAATTATAGTTACTCAGGGATAACATCAATGGCGCTACAACTATTTTAGGTCTGGGCCTCAGATTTCTGCCTCTGATTTAAGCCACTAGGCCACACTGCATGTGCAAGCATACAAAAACTCTTTATAATATAATATGTATTAGACTCAAAAAAATTCTACTTCCTCGAGAACAGTTAGGTATACCAATGATATATTTTTTTAGAATCCTGGTAATGGAGCGTGCAACGGGCTATCTATCAATATTTCATCATTCGTTCGCGTCATGGCTGTTGGATGTAAAGCATTGCACGCGACGTTACTTGTGCTGCGTCGCGGACGGACACGCGGCGGTCGCTATGTATTATACTCTACTTGCTAAAAGGTAATATTCAAGATTATCTAACTTCCTTATTTATTAACTAAACAACAACGGGTAATTAATGTTTTGTTTCGAAGGGAGGAATGTATTTATTGTGATTTGCATAGAGACAATAATTATCCCGATGAAGCTAAACGATCCGTAGTTTCGTTTTCAAAATGGATTTTAGTATGACTTTTCTTGATTGTCTTTTAAAAACTAAAAATGATAATTGACTTTAATGATTCATGCTACTTTAAATGCATGAATTAAGGGTACAATATTGATTTAACATAGTTATTTTTTATTTTTATTTTTTTATTTTTACATTATATTATTGTAATTTTTCCTAATCGTAATCTACTACTTTCAGACTGACCGCTCTTGAAATCCACAATTACGTTTATCACATGACCTACCTCGAACAACATCTATCGTCGCAGAAGAAAAATAAGAACAAGTTAGTGTTTTTAATCATTATACATTTAAAAATTTTCCATCTTGTCTCCCCAAGATCGCAAGGTATTTATTAGTTGGATTTTTAAAGGTCCTTATGAAATTATCAACGACTAGGGGCCCGTCCCGGCTTCGCACTGGTGGACGTTTACTTTTAAACAATTTTGTAGATATTGATATGTTATATAAAATTTTTTTGGCAGCCCATGCGATGAAAGATATTTTATAGTTTTAGATAGCATTATTGTAATTTTAGTAGGAATCCTTATTTTTTTGCAATGAAAATAGTCTATATTAATCAGTGATAATTTTAGCAATCAAATGGTGAAAGAATTTTTTAAATCGGTCCAGTACTTTTTGAGCCAATTTGTTACAAACATACATACAAATCTTTCCTCTTCATAATATTAGTATAGAAAGAAACTCTGTTCCATGTATATTAGGAGTCACTCAGCAAGTCTAGTTTAATGTACCGTTCATAGACATTATTATAACATAAAAGTTGGGGACAGCAACTTAATGGGCTTATTTTTGGTTAAAGTTATTGTTTTTTGTAATTCTGTGGATGTTGCTTTAATGAAAAGCTTTTTTTCTTAAATCCACAAAATGTAATTCACTAATTAATATTTTTGTTTTCAGCGAAGATGATGTATTAAACCTTCACACACTAATATTGCTGTGGATTCTGGACTCTGGCTGTGATGTGGAACTGGCTTTGAAGAGAGAGACAGATCTAGTCCGGGAAATGGAGACGGATGTACAGGTAGAGAGAATTTTTTCGCTTTGGTTATTTTGCCTAGATAATTTGTACTTATTGTCACGAGATAATAATATTCGGATTATGAAAAAAATATACTCAATTTCAATAAAATGTTATACAAGTACATTGTTCTTTCACATAAGCCAATAAATTTATATATTTAGTGAAGTTTATTACTTGTTGAACAATTATATTATTTATGAATAATATTTTTATTACCTAGTATCTGTGCAATTCGTTAAAGTATAATTGTCTAATTTCAGAATGACTCGAAGGCAGAAGATAAAGATTTAGATCCAGAATCTGAGAGCAAGGAATCTGTGTCAAGTATGTATTGTCAATTAAAAACACACATCTAAATTTGTTTAATGCAAAATATCCTCTTTCTTGTTATATTTTAACATATATACATATTTTTTGTGGTATATGTAATCACCTAACATATAATCCTAAAGTTGAGAGTTCTGGGGTTTTTTATTTCGGATTTGTAGATATATTAACTTTGATGTTGAAATATACATAAATCAGTCGCTGAAATGATGCCTATTGGGAGGTTGATTAAAACAAATATTAAATAGTGATATAAATATTTTTTTTATTTGCAATTAGTATTTTTAGACAAGGTTATTATTAGTCTCCTTACACTAAATATATACCAAACTATGACTTCCTGTTGCGGTGACAATTGGATTTTGATTTGAAATATGTTTAAGGAAAACTGCCTCAATACCAGGAAAACTATTATTTCAGCAAAGAGGAATGTTCTTACGCGCTTAAAGGGAATTGATTTTACTTTACAATACGCAGTGAACTTTAGGAACATTTGAGTCTAAATTTGTTAGCTTATGTTTTGTTAAAATAGTGATAGTGGTATTTGAATTCTGTTTAGGATTTATGAAGGACTCGTATTTGCTCAAGGTAATCCTCAATAGTGTGAAAGGGTTTAGATTAAATAATAGCCGATCAAACAAAGCTGACAATTTAATCATTATAAATGTATTTAAATTATGGTTTAAACATTCTTCTTTGTCCAGAGTAAGATGGTGTTTGAATGTATATGTTATTAGTATGGTTTTTAATTAAAATATTACAAATAATAAAGCAGCAGTGTTGGCCTACCTGTGGCTGTTGAAACCACTTCAGCGTGCAACTCTCATCCCTGAGGTCGAAAGTTCGATCCCCGGCTGTGCACCAGTGGACTTTCATTATATGTGCCCATTTAACATTCGCTCGAACAATGAAGTCGACGGCGTGTGACAGGCACAGCCCTGCGATTCTGTAACTCACTTTTTAATCACAAGGGTTTTATTTATATGAGTCATTTATGATTTGGCATTCTGATAAACAATAAACTACAAGCTCCACTTTACCGCCGATGCGAAAACCCTGTGGCTCGAAAAGTGAGTTACAGAATCGCAGGGCAGGACGCTGATCACCTACTTGCCTATTAGATTGACAAATGATCATAAAATAGATACAGAAATCTGAAGCCCAGACCTAAAAAGGTTGTAGCGGCACTTGTTTTTTTTATTTACAAATAAATATTCTACCACTAAAAATTTCATATAATATTTAATCAGTGTATAGTGTAAGACTTAACGTTAAAGTTCATTCGATTTGCTTGACAAGTCCGTTGAGTATTCGTTTGAACGTATAAACGGTGTACGATATTTTGCAGTACAAACGCCGTGTGAATGGGTCTATGTGCAATACATGTGCCACTATTTATTCTTTAAGACGTATACTGCAAAAAAACGTGCAGGCCAATGATGTGTGAACCCCGTCTAACAAAACCCCTGTCACAATATATGCATCACTATAATAAATATTATTCGTTTTATGAAGAACAACAAAGTCAATTATTATAAAGGTAGAAGAAAGAAAATAGTTTAATTTATTTTTTAGTGGAACCGTCCACCCTAGAAAGCATAATGCCTGAGCTGGTGAATGGAGAGATGACGACTCCATGGCCGAGGGACAGAAGGGTTCTACGCGCTTTGTTGGAACTCAGCCGGGCTGACTCAGTACCCACAGAACCAGAAGTCGATGAATTAAATGATTTGGTAAGTTATTAGAATGTAATTATTACTATTGCATGTAATGCTTTTAATATTTATTTATTTTCCACATAATTATTATATCTTTACAGTTATAACTAATAAGATCTAATTCTCAGAATCTCAACTATAAACAATGTGGGCCGTCTAGCCTTTCAAAACGAATCGATTTACTTTTTAATTTCAAAAAGTTTCTTCAGGTAATTAATAGAATTACAAAACATATCTTCAGCGAGAAAGCCAATAGGTTCTTTAAGCGTTTCCAAAACTGCATGTACGGCGCAGATTTTCTAAAATTCAAAAGGTTCCCTCATTATAGAGGTTATTATTAACATTTTATTTTTCAAATTATCTTAAAATAAACTGCTTTTGGTTTTTTTTAATTGTATGTTTACCTTTTAAATAATACTTTTAAAAAATCTATAAAATGACTGGGCCATTTATTAAATCTATTTTTGACAGATGTCAACAGACCAAGTCGAAAGTGAGGACGTAAATGACGCAACGGGTGATGAGCAAGACGAAACATTGTTACTAGACCCCAGCACAGTACACGAGTTGGCTACTAAGGGTGATGATGAAACGCTGTCTGCGCTTTTAAAGGTATATTGATACATTGACATACTTATACTGTCGAAGAGAAAAAATACCGTGTCTGAGCAAGAAATTTGTTTTTTGAATAATGTTTCTATTGATTCAAGTAATTTATTATTATTTTTATTAGCAATTGCCCGTGCGATTCAATGGCGTTAAAATATGATAGTCTTTATGTTTAAATATTCATAGCACAATGCGAGCAAAGTTAAATAAAGAATGTAAAAAAGTCAAAGTCAAATCTTTATTGCATTCCTTATGTTCATACTTTACAGGTGACATGTTATAATTTTGTTACAATAAGGACCTTGGTTAGGCACAGCAATGTTGTGAGAGGGCATGCTTTATTATACTTAGTTCTATTTTTATACATTTTAAATATAAATGTATTTATTTCTTCCATTACGTAATTAAAATTGTACAAAAATAATGCCGCTTTAAAAATAAAAAGTAAAAAGATATGATTCCGGCCAGGATCGAACTGGCGGCCTTCTGCGTGTAAAGCAGATGTGATAACCACTACACCACGGAACCAGTTGAAACTGTCTACGAAATATCGGGTCTGAATTGACGCGATATAAAAAGTGAAAGTTGTACGGCATGTTTCGGCTTCTCAAATTTGTAATGAGAAAAAACATCACATTACGGTCTTCGCGCACAGATTACTATCATTTAATTAATTATACATTTTATTTCTTATAAATGTGTTATTCCCGTGTAAACAACTAAATTAATAGTATTTTTTGTGCCTTTAATGTAAAGTAATTTAGACATTTGAATTAAAAATCAAAAGTACCTCGCCTTTACAGCGATGCCCACAACTAGCAGACACGCGCGATAGTTCGGGAAGTACAGCTTTGCACTCGGCAGCGCGTAATGGCCGAGTCGCTTGTGCTGCCCTGCTACTGCAAGCTGGAGCCTCTCCATCCGCTGCTGATGCAGATGGCTGGAGTGTGCTAAGAGCTGCTGCTTGGGCGGGACATAGCGAGGTGGGCATGGGGTCATAATTTGTGTTGTACTAAATTGAAACGTGTTAGAAGATGATTTTGCTTGAATTACAAATTTACTGAAGAAATTTTTATTAATTTTCAGGTGGTCGATGTTTTGTTAGAACACGGCTGTGATGTGGATTGTGTGGATGCTGATAATAGAACTGCTCTGCGGTAAGTTACCTTGTCTTATGCCTATATTGTATATGTTTTTTTTTTAATTCAGTTTATGACACTTTAAAGAAAAGAAGATTAGCTTAGAAGTTAAAAAATTTATTTCAATTCTGTACGTTGTCATTCACATAAATTATATTTTTCCTTCTTTTCGCCCATTAAACAATTGACGGCGTAAAATAAGTTTCTGTACGCTTCAAGAACTCTAAAGTTCTGCATCGATCGAGCTGAAACTTTAGCATGATATATAATCCGCATCAAGGATTGTTTTTATCCATTCTTTTTGTTCTTTTTTTTACACAAGTATTGCAAAATTAAAGTTATGTGAAATGTTTTCTTTGTTTTGTTTCTCATTTCTCAACCACTCAATCACATTTTGCCACGTGGCAGGGAACAGTTAGTTTGTTAATAATTTAGTTCCAGGGCATCTTACCATTATTTTTGGGTTGGAGATACGTCGATAATTTCTTTTTTAAATATTGTTTGTTTTTTATATTTTAGTGCTGCAGCATGGTCAGGTCATGAAGCAGTAGTCGCTCGCCTTTTAGTCGGCGGTGCGGCGCCGGATAGAGCGGATGCGTCCGGTCGAACAGCGCTTATGGCTGCAGCATATATGGGACATGCAGATATAGTAAAAATGCTGTTGGATGCTGGTGCCGATCCTAATAGACCTGATGAGGATGGTAAGTGTATACAAAATCTGTGGCAGCAGTGGCGATATAATATAGCTAATCCTGCCTGTGGTATAAATGTATAAAATGTTCGGACAGTATAGATAGATAGTAAAATATTCTTATTCGTCATTTATTTTCAGTGACTGTTGAGATCACATCAATTTGAGCTTTGTTTCGTTTAATTTACGAGGACAAGTCAAACTGTAGCCAAATTGCGATTGTCTTTTCAACTTTGGTTTCCTAATAAATAAAACTTAACTAAATCACTCACACACACACAAACAAGTCGTTTCTGATGCAGCAGTTGTAGCCAGAGAACCTCTTGCGAGAGTTTTTAAAATGATTTTAATTCTAGGTAGAACATCTCTAGCGGTAGCGGCATTGTGTGGTACAGGGGCTTCTTCCGCAGCGTTGCTGATAGAACGCGGCGCAGACGTCAATACGCCCGATAGAGATAAGGCCACGCCCCTATTGGTCGCTGCTTTTGAGGGACACACGTGAGTACTTGTTGATATTTCAAAGGTAAAGAGAAACTGTCTACACTGTCCGTGTATCTGTTTTAGGGATATTTTTTTAAAGCAAGTGTGTTTTCAGTCTTCTGTTCCAACCAACATGAATGAATTACAGTTTGAAATAGGACCAGCTAGCCCCAAAGTGCGTTCACCCTTAAACCACGAACTGTTATTGCAATTCCAGTGAAATCTGCGAAGTCCTTCTCGAAGCGGAATCGGATATAGAAGCCACAGACTGTGCGGGCCGCACTGCGTTATGGGCAGCTGCCTCAGCGGGACACGCAGACACAGTACGGCTTCTGCTGTTCTGGGGTGCCTGTGTTGATAATATGGATAACGAGGGAAGGACAGTTCTGAGTACAGCTGCTGCACAGGGTAAGTACTTGGCGACAGAAATTTTATGTATAATTTTTGTGGACGAGTCAAGGCTGCTAAACATTTAGATTTCGTGATCTCTGGGAAGATACATAAGCTAGTTTTTACTCCACGCTTTGAGAACTGGCAGTAAATGTAAAATTTGAAGCATTTCATATAGATATTATATTTTTGACGTTCATAAGTTTACATTGTGTTACCTATATGAATAAATGATTTTGACTTTGACCAGAAACGATGGTTTTGTTACATATAGAAATTAACCCTTATTTTTTTAGCTTATTTATTTTACACAATAATATAATCTAAATTATAGTATATTTTAAAAACATTATGGTTTGTAGTAATGTAAATAACATTCTTGTCAGGAGCGAAGCAATTCTTCAACTTTTATGTTGGTTAACGTTAGGCAATTCGTTAGGTTATCCGGCCTCATTGTTCCCTCATCATAGACGTTGTTTGCTCTCGAAGTACGAAGACGAACATGCAGTTACAGCTGCTGGGGTCTGTACGTCATGCCCAACTCGTTTTTTTTTGTATGTCATCTCGAAAATATACCTATACGTATAAGATACGGAGGTGACAAAGATAGTGGCTATACAATATATAGTTTACATTTTCACATAAACAGGTAACGTGGAAGTAGTCCGTCAGTTGCTAGACAGAGGTTTGGATGAACATCACAGAGATAATTCTGGGTGGACACCTCTGCATTATGCTGCTTTTGAAGGTAAAAATAGATGATAATTAATTTGTTGTGAGAGTGAAATTTTACGATGCGCGCGCATCGTGACACAAAATTAAAAGAATGAAGATGCATTGGACATAATTTAAAAACAACATTCGAATAATAATAGAATTTATGTTACACTTAATTTAAGAGAATAATAATAAATATTTATTTATTTAATTTTTCAAATGTAAACTGAACTTTATTGACTATAATGACTCCTTTTCCAGTCTTTGATTATTTAATTGTAATTAATTATTTGCATGCAATCAAAAACTATTTTTAATAATACCAAAGAAGTATAACTTACGCGCGTACATAAGTACACGCACCCTTTTTATTAATTTGATATCAACACAGCTTAAATAAAATATTCTAATTAACATTTATAGTAAGTACATAAAAGCATAATGTAGTATTTATTCTGCATTTTCAGGTCACATAGAAGTCTGCGAAGCCTTACTGGAAGCTGGCGCTAAAGTGGACGAAGCAGATAACGAAGGCAAGGGTCCTCTTCTTCTGGCTGCGCAAGAAGGCCACTTAGACCTGGTGAAGCTGCTAATAGACAAGGGCGGGGCACCAGTAGACCAAAGAGCTCACGATGGAAAGACTGCGCTCAGGTTAGTTGAGTGATCCAAATTATTATTTATATTGTAATTTTAAATATAAATCTAATGTTTTTTAATAAGTAGCCGTATCGCTAAGTTGACAACGACAAGTGTTCTCCGAAATTGCAATTATAATATTGATTTACTAAATAGAAAACTTTTATTTTTACAAAATATTTTTAAAATTGTTAAAAGAAATCCAGCACACAGATTACTTAAAGAGATATTCATTTTAGTGACATAAGATGTACTCGTAAAATAACCTAGTCGTATAAACATGATTAGGCATAAGTAGGCCTTCTCTCTCTTCAAAAAACGACTCGTAATTGCTACGAGTACATAATTATTTATTTATTTACACTAAGTTTAACAGGAACAGGTTACATACATTATTTAAGGTTGAAACCAAAAGTCGGTCAGTTCAAATAATGGTAAATCTAAACCTTAATCTTCAGACTAGCAGCTCTCGAAGGCCAATTCGAGGCAGTCTCGTGCCTTCTGTCACGTGGGGCGGACGTGGACGCTGTTGATGCGGACAGACGTAGTACGTTGTACGTACTCGCTTTGGATAACCGATTGGCCATGGCGCGGCAATTATTGGCCGCTGGGGCTAGCGTTCATTGCAGTGATACAGAGGTAAGTGAAAAGGATAAATAATTATTACAATGTGTGGAATAAGATAATATTCTTTTAAGTTGAAATACCGGCAACGCACTCGCGATCCCTTTGGCATCGGTGTCTCTTGCCCGTTTGCCCCCTCTTCTATACAAAAAAAGAAATGAATAAAGTATTTAAAATTGATTTTGTGATTATTGAAATGTTCTTATATTGTACCTTTATATGTTTATCAAAATTTTATCGCAGTCTAAACATCAAAGAATAATAAACAGTAAGTTTTGATGTAACTATAGTTAATATATTATTTTAGGGTCGCACTCCATTACACGTATCCGCATGGCAGGGGCACACAGAGATGGTTAATCTTCTCGTCAAAGTTGGTAAGTATCTGATTAAGAGAGAGCAAAAAGATTCAGCTTCTGGTGGTTTAAAAGATCTCTAACAAAACTATTTTTATAATTTTGTACTGTCAATCTTATTTTGTGGCCAGGTGCTTCATATGTATCTACTTAACTATCTATATAAAAGTCATGAGTGCCGCAATGGTGTAGAAAAGTTGTGGTGTAAAGAAAGAAAGTCAAAAAGAATTCGACATAAAAAATGTGATAGCGGACTGGATTACAAAATACAGTTCACCAGGAGTCTACGATACGTGTTTAATGAAACTCGCTAATCATTTATATTTTTATTGATATAGGTGGCGCTGAAGTAGACGGCCGTGATCGTTGTGCCAGAACAGCTTTGCACGCAGCCGCTTGGAGAGGACGCACGGCCGCGTTACGTGCATTGCTCAAGCATGGGGCTTCACCCGCAGCTGTATGTACTCAGGGCGCCACGCCCCTCGGTAAGCATTAATAAAACATTGATTGTAAAAGTAACTCCATGTATGTTTTATTGAACTCTAAATGATTAAAAATATTAACGAAACAAAATCTAATATATTTTTGACAAATGGGATTTGGATTTAGCGATAATTTTTTTTCTGATTCTGACTTAACTATGGTATCAGTATCTTTATATGTGATTAAGAATGTCGATGTTTTGTAGGTATTGCAGCTCAAGAAGGCCACGAAGAGTGTGTGATGTGGTTATTACAACATGGCGCTGATCCGTTGCAAGCCGATCACTGCGGTAAGAAAATATATAATAAAATTACTATTTTATATATTTTACTAATATTTAAATTCAAATATTGAAAACAAGTTATAATAAGCAATTATTATTAATACGTAGTAAAAATTAAATAATAACTTTAGTTAAAGAAGATAGATGTGATAAAGTCACACTGTTATCACGTGCAGTCATATGTCAAAACTAGTTTAAGAATTAATTATAATAATTATCATTCAGTTCTGAAAATAGTTGTTACTTTAATCAACGTTTTAGAATTTGAGTTTAATGGTATTAATAATGGAAATTAATGGAAACAAATCAACAAACAATTTAAAAATTCAGGTCGTACACCCGCCAAAGTAGCGTGGCGCGCGGGCCACGGTAACATTTGTCGTCTTCTCGAAAAATGGACGGCGCCCTCTGCGCCTGCGCAAATACATGACGACGATTTATTAGCACCGTTGAGAACCGGTTAGTATTATATAAAATATATAATTATATTTTTATATGTGTAGAATATTTCTAGCACTTTCCCCCTACTTATATACCTCAACGAAAATAGAAAATTTAATTGACCTTAAAGCTATATTTATATTCATCAATGTATTACGAGATGTGAATTTTTGATTAACTATTTTTTGTTTATTAGCATCTCCAGACTACAAACGTCGCAGCGTACACAGCTCCAACTCAACCAAGTCTTCATCGAATCTCACTGGAGGATCGAACAGGTCTCACGAACATGAAGATACTGTGGAGAAGGTATTTATTATTGGAATTGTTTCCTTAAGAAACGATTTGAGTTATAAGGCCCGGTACGGAAATTTTATGAGGAGTAAAATCAGGTGTAACACGAAAAGTTGAGGCGTTATGTAGAAAGAGACAAATATATATCTGAGGATTGAATGTGTAAAAGAATGAGATGGAATACATTACACAGCGTATCTCATTCTAAAACACATGGATGCAGTTAAGTAAGCTTATCGTTTACATTTATGATAATATACATTTTAAATACGAACAGCTAGATCTTTATTATGTGTTTTTGTCCATAGTTTTGGATGGTAAAAAGGACATATTTATTAATAACATAAATAAGTCCTTATTTCATGATTATACCAGTTAAATGACATAAGAGTCTAAGAGTATTATGTTATTATTATTATTTATTTATATTGTTTTGTAACATACTTTATATAATACGCTTTATTGAAGTAATATAAATAATCCGAATAATTACAGATATATGTTTGTTTCTCTTATCATTTTAGCAGATGCGTTCATTTACCCTTTTTTCTTTTCGATATATATCATAATTATCGTTCGTAAGGAGTAAACTCCAATCGTGCGTCGTAGCTGACACACACACACTTTTTTGAATCGTTTTCAGTTTTATATTTTCGATGTACACGCTCCTTTATTTTTGCATTTCTAAAATGTCTAGAGTTACGTTTTCGTTTCGTTTCTGTACTTGATTTGACTTTGGACAAAAAATCCTACTCTACCAAATGAATAATAATCGATGAGTTATTTATCTTTAGGATTTTTCCAGTTATATTTGTCTATAGCTATAGTTTTATTTTTGTATACGATTTAGATTGATAATTTATGTTTTAATTAATTACATTTTAAATATAAGATTGAATTAGGTACTTCGAATCGAATCCGATTTATTCAGTACTGAACCTTGAAGAATTTTGATCATTACAATCAATAATTATTAATATTTTTTTATATTCAGAGCCGAACAAACTCTTCTCTAACTTTCGCTCAACAAGTGGCGCGATGCGGTTGGGGAAGGCGTGACTTGGACAGAGATGAACCCATACCAGAACATCACGTCGTTGAAAACGATCCTAAGTTGAGGTAAGGTCCAAAGCTTATTAAATCATAGATACTAAATCATTTTTTTTGGATTAAAAGTAAAGTTAAAGTTGTAAAACAAATAAAATATATATACTCTGATTTTTAATTCCGTAGAATCCTGAAAGTCTTAGTTTTTACATGTACGATTACAAACCTTTTGGGGGGTACAAACTAACAAACTATGAAAAATGTACCCTTTTATGGCTGGAAGTCCGAGTGCTCCACAGTCTTTAAAAGTGGTCTAAGGCGCGAGTGGTGCACGGGATTACGTGCCCTTTTGGGCATCACAAACAATAAAACAAGTAAAGATAACATTTTATTATAAAAATTTCTAAAGGTCTACCTTAGGTTGTTTTGGTCATAGTCTACTGGACTTGTGTGAAGAATTGTTTTTATCCTTGAAACTTAACATTCCAAGGAGCTACCAAGCCAACGAGCGTGACGTGACTCTTCGTGGGGGCGTGTCACGATCTCGCGGTCGGGAGATGCGTCACGGTGATACTTCGCCGTTATACGCTTCGCCGCCCCACTCGCCACAGAGGGATAGAGATGATAGTGAGTATCTATTTTATAGGAACGGATGATCAATGCAATTTTTTCCTAACTATATTTTTGTTGTTGCCCGAAGTTGTTGCCTCCGAGCTATACAGGATAGTAAAGTCTTCAAATCAAAATATCCTTTTTCATGTACCTGATGAATGTTAATGCTTAAATTGGTATTTCTTGCTGAATGAACTTGCTCGCCAACACACCATAAGAAAAAAGGGCCAAAAAACTACCAGTTCTACAAGAAGCCAGTAGTCCGGAATGCTTCCAATGGAAGTCACTCCACATGACAGCACCACAGAAAATATTCGCTCATAGCCTTAAAAAAAATAAAAAAATTGGTATTTACTACCAGTTCTCAATGCCGTAAAGTGTACGATGAGAAGTGGGCAGAGCAATTTATCATGCAAGTGATATTTCAGTTTGTGGTGCATTTTGAGTCAAAGGCATGCCCTCACGATATTTCCTTTACCATTTGAAAACTATTTTCGCAGGTTCCCAACCGCCAAGTCTGACGTCACAGCCTCTAGTGACAGATACGCACTTCAACAGGGACACGCATATGCGAATTATTTTGGGCCGAGAAAGCAAACCCGATAGGAATGAGAGGTCAGTGATATTGGATCCGTGATTGGTTCATTTATACAATATAAGATCATAGTCGTATAAAAAAGCATAGCAGCTGTAGAAAAATTGTAAAGATAAATTAATTAATTATAATAGTTTAAAGATGATGAAATATTATCTATCAAACATACACATATTGGTGATTATGTAATAATTTTTAAATGTTATAAGAAATTAAGTAGTATCAATTAAAACTGGCGGTCATTCATTAATAACTGAGACAAATGAATGCCTTAAGTTAATTAAAAGAAAATCTATATATATATATATTTAATGCCTTGGCTAACTAGTGATACGTACAACTGTACGTATACAGCCCTAGCTTATCAAATCTCTTCTCCTTAAAGAGGTTTCTCACTTACCCGAGTTTCCCGCTAATGCCGGTACATGGGTAACGTTTCTCTCTTATAGAGGTACGAATGTAGTAAATATGTAATATGATAAAATTATGTGCATAATGTGCACAACATATATTATGTACATATTTATTTTATTTAGAACTTATTAACACTTAAAAAATCCGTCAATTTCGTTTGAGTTTCTGTTTTTGTATTTTGAATGTTTTTCTCTAACTCATAAATTTTGTCGAATATTGCTTGATCAACAACCGCCGCGTATTCAAAGTACAAGCTCGACTGTCGCTTATAGAGGTATAGATAAGTAGCAGTCTCACTTACGAGGTCCATGAGGGAAAAATACTCTCTCTTAAGAGGTTTCTGTTTCTCGCTAATAGAGGTTTTGGGAGCTTAAAATGACGGGTCCGGCTATTAGTCTCACTTATAGAGTTTTCTCACTAATCCAGTTCTCACTTACCCAGGTTTGACTGTATATAGATAAAACATTGTTTGGATATTTTCATAATTTATTTCTTTTTTACATACTATAACATAAATGTTTCTAATGTTCCATTTATTATTATTATTTATATATTATTGTTTTTAATTTACTAAATCATAGCGTGGTGTTTTTGGCGTCGAGGCTTGCGTACAACAAGTTTGTAGGCGGACTCGGGAAAGCGAGAGGGAAGATATTTAAGAAAACGTGAGTGATAAGGATGGCTACAGACGCAACTCAACAGCTTACGATTCGATTGTCACAATCTTAGAGGTTTTCAAGCTTTGTATGCAATGTTAGGTAGAAATTTCCTAAAGATGGAAAAAAAGGCAGATTATATTATTTCACCTTATACTATAATCAATCAAATAATTAAAAAAATTACGTGTTAATGAAGTCTGTGCTTACAGAGAACCGATATTTGTGGTCGCAGCACTAACACAGTACTTACCTATTTTGCTATGTTTAGTTCGATATAGTTATGTGGTCATAACGATACTTGAACATATTAAAAGTACATAATTTTTATAAATAAAATGACGTGCAGAAAATTTGAATTTAGCAGCTGTGTTCTTTCATACTCTATCTTGTTAACACTTTGATCACGTATACGTACGTATACGTCCAGTACGTCTAGCCGTCTAGCAGTACTAGCCGTCGTGGACACACCGTGTCAAGCCGTCTACGGAGAAAGCGAATTAATTTTTAATGATATAATGTCGAATTTAAGCTATTGAAATTGTAATGCGTGAATGCGATTGGCTGATGCTTAGGAAGTTTTCTCTTCTGGGTGTGTTCCACGTCATAATTTGATGCCTTTTAGGTTTTATATTTGGCATTCGTTTATTCCGCTGATCATTTTGGTCAAAGGTTTTCTAACATCTGATTTTGGTGCTGTTCATTAAATTTAGCACATATTCACCACTTTTCTTCATCACATTCTTTCACCACATTGTTGAACGCAAGTCTTGACACGTGACGCTTAAGGTCTTGAAACTAATACGGTTTGAAGGTTATGGATGCATGTTTTTTTTTACTTAATTTAACATAAAAAAATATTTGGCATTAGTCAGTTAGAATATATTATTATTGTTTTTTCAGCAAAAACAAAAGGAATGGAATAGTAACTAATCCGGCAATGAGATTGGTAGCCAATGTGAGAAACGGTTTAGGTAAGTGACGTCATAGTTATGTTTGTATCATTCATATATATATATTTATATAACAGAGGGCAAACGGACCGGAGGCTCATCTGATGTTACACTCACATTGCCAGAGGGCTCGCAAGTGCGTTGTCGGCCTTTTAAGAATTGGTTCGCTCTTTTCTTGAAGGACCCTAAGTCGAATCGGAAATACATCGATAGGTGGTTCCACATAGCGGTTGTGCGTGGCAAAAACTGCCTTAAAAACTCTCTGTTCCTTTATTATATCCTTACTGCATTATTCATTTCATTAACATTTTTTTCTTTAGATAATGCAGCGGCGAATATTCGTCGAACTGGTGTGGCGATAGCTGCAAGCGCCAGTTCATCAAACCCAGCTGTTAAAACCAACGCTTTTCAATGGAGAAAGGAAACGCCGCTCTAGATACGAATTTCGTTACAAATATTTGTTCAAATGTGTATTGTTTACGATATGTTTATCGGATTTCTGATTATTCCGTTATAAGATATCATCACTAATTTTCTGCTTTCATATAATCTATAAAAACAAAAATACTTAAAACAAAAATAGTATGCATAGGGTCGATACAGATTGAAGAAAATCCACTGTCAATAGTGAGAAATGTCTAATATTTCAGACCAATTAATAAATATCATTCCCTTCAAACAAATATTTTAGAATTACCAATGTTCGCCTAGTGATTAGACGCAACTATTATAAAACAAAAAAAAATATTAAGGAAAATACAGAAAACTAAAGCCAAGAATTGTATCGCAACTGGTTTTCTTTCCTTCATTTTACTGGACTGCAAACTGGTCATTCAAAAGAAGTAATTTCTTAAATCAGGAAGCAAATGATTATTAATCAGGTACCTCATAGTTTAAAATAAGCGACCGAAAACAAGAAATATGCTTACTCTAACATAGTATTAAGCGCATAAGTTAGAATGAAACAGCCTGATTGCTTTAAATATTAATGCACAGTTATAAGACGTATATTGAAACGCATTTATATAAAAAACTAAAAATGTTTAGATTAAACCTTTCAAAATATTAATTAGGAATACAAACACTGAAATTAATAAAAAATCTTTATCCTATTTCCTTTTCTCACTATATTTTCACATATTTTATTTTCCTTTCTACCTTACTTAAAGTATTTCACCGTTCATCCCATCTTATGGTCCTTCGAACCGGAATATATTTTTGTATCAAGATTCTAACTTAGGACCTCCTATCAAATGCTTACTAATATCAAAACTCATTAAATGTTAAAGCGTTTGTATAATTTAAATGTAAGACGTGTATGTATGTACCTGTCTATCGCCACAAAACTTGAAAAAAAAAAAATTTTTTTTGCATGTGATACAAAAATCGATGTAAAAATTACAGCTGTGTTTATTAGAACACGCTGTGCTGCATAACTACGTGTGTTTTTGTAGAAAGCAATATATTATACAGAATGTATTTAAAATATGTACTTGATTTTTTAAAGTGCAAATGAATATTTTAGTATTTCAATAAAATTACTTTTCCCCGTAATTTCAGGGAAAACATTTTTTCTCCTATAGTTGTTAAATTTCCTTTTTTTTGAATATATTCTGTATACGTAAAATATATATTTAGAAAATATATGAATTAGAGGATCTTAATAAGCTTTGTTTAAAATTAATATGCCCACACGACAACAGAGTAAAAAGTCCCGTCATCACGTTGGGTTAAGGGATTTCTCGTCTTGTTCTCTTCTTAATCAGCGCCGGTACTCTGTAACTTCCAATAGTATAGAGTGTACTCAATTTCGATATAGTTCTTTTAATATCCGTTACTGATGTCGCAAATTTCGGATTGCTTGGTATTAATATGCAGATCACTATTTGGGATTAGAGTACTGGCGCTGGATCCAGATTGGGCAAAATTGTTTTTTTTAGGGAAGTCCCTATCTTGTTCATGAATAAATGTGCGTGTTACCTCCTCATTCCTGTAATTGGCACTAAGGTATTTTTAAGCTAACTGAAAGAGGCAATTTTTTTTATTTATTGTATAAAGATCTCAAATTTGAACAATTTTTTATTATAATCGCATTTAAGTAAACGCTATGTCATCTAAAATATTCATAAAGTTTGACAAATATTGATTTTTTGTCTTAAAACTTACTGAAATGCACGAATAACATACTGTCAATAATTAGCAAACTTTATGAAGATGGTCATAGTTGGTCGTAACTATAGTTTAATGTAAAATTATGAATGCCTAGTCGTTAATTGCGTAGGTGCCTATTTCTGAGCGAAGGCAGATTTTTGAATTTTTGATATATCTAAAGTATATAAAGATAATCTCTCCGTTTTAATTATAATTAAAAAAATCGTAATTTGAATCAAAAAATTATTTCATCTAGCAAATATATTACGAATCCATGCACTGATTCCAACGTAAGTAAAATTGTTGTGTAATGTGTAGTGTGTGTAGTAATCAAAGTATTTAAAAATCTGCCTTAATGTAGTTCTAACATATATTTGGAAATAATTGCCAGTGTAAAAAATATTTTCCTTTTCGCAAAAATATTATTTTTATAACGCATTTTTTTCTAACTAGAATTTTTGGACTGGCGATTATTTCCTAGCTAATATAAGTAGGTTATAAAATTGGTAACACCAACGATGTTGAAATATTTTTGTGTGACAAATGTATAAGATATACGTAATATAAAGCCTAAAGTAAAGCCTTAACACATTTTTTCAGTTATTATATATTTTTTCAATACGGTATTAATTAAAAACATAATGGACTGAGCGATTTCGCTTCAGCTTGACTTAGGTAACTTGTATTTTGTCACTTACTATCATTATCTGCGGGAAAGAGACAGCACATATAACATGTATAATTTATTGAGTTATAGATTGCCCTGACGGATGACTGATCTTTGATATATACAGGAGATAATTGCTTAATTGAAATCATTTCAATAACGAACAGCTGTTAGGTTCGGTTCAAAGAGTTAGGTTGAGTTCATTAACCTCAGCGTCAATGACCTCATATTGTGTCCTATTAGGAACTATAATATATTTTTCTTCTTTTACGTAAATAGCCGCAAACGAAAAGAAAATACATTAACCATTTTAACTGAACTTTGAGCCCCCAATAACTCTACAGGTTTTGCTTTTATACCTTCGGAAGAGAAATGATTTTTCGCTCAGTCCATTTTTTGTTTGGTTTAAAGTTAACGCTTTAATGATATGTTTAGAAATATCCGAGTCACAATTGTAAATTCCTATTGTCTTAACAATTAGTATCTTATTTTTTTTAATACCTTTGTATATATTTTTTTATTGTGTTTACATTCTGTATAAAAAATCGAATATAAAACAAGTGTATATTTTTATTGTGTCAAATTAATGCCAAATAATCTTTTTTTGGGTCGTAAGGTGAAGTAAAAGTAAGAATTTTCAAAAATTCTCAATGGGTAGTCGTAGGAATGGAGCGTGCGTGATTTTGAAGTGCTTTTTGCGTCGAATCTTTTAGTATTATCTTAAGTTAGGTAAAAATCGTATCGAGAATTCTGTCAAATATTTAAAATTCAGGATTTCAAAATGTCATTTTTTTATTAAAAGTTGATAGACAAATGCGTCTCAAAATCTGTAATAATTAAAACATACATAGACTAATATGTTTTTATTCTCTTAGCAAAATCAATGATTAAAACTTAATACATATATGTTTTGATTTCATAAAAGTAGTACAAAACTCTCATAAATGTTCGTATTATTTGACACTATTGCCATGTAAACGCCTATTTTGTAATTTATTTATATTTATATAATTTTGTATGTTTGTGTGTGAAAATTGTGATTTAGAATAAAGAATGTAGCTGGTGCCGTGGTATATGACGTTGTGAAAATATATTGAAATATACGTATTATTTCCCTTTTTACTGTTTTATTTAACGTACTAGATGACACTGGGTCATATATATCACCTAAATATAATATATTATTTGTGTCAAAATTTAATGATTTTTTTTAAAACAAACAAAAGAGATCGGACCTACATACTACAGCTATGAAACGCTTTTTATTAAGGCATCTATAAATATATGACAACCATGTGACAATTTTTTATTTCTCAAAAGTCAAGAGGCATCAAATATTTACCAGGACTTTTTTGTTGGAAAATTCAATTGTCGTGTTTAGTATTTTACATTACTTATTATTTATGATTACCACCGTTTAAACCTTCCCTGAAATACATAATACATTCCTTCCGATTCCTTCAGATATTTCACGAATATAATAATTAGCCAAATCGGTCTAGCCATTCTCGAGTTTTAGCGGGACAAACGAATATGAATAAATTTTTAGGAACATTTTCAATACGACAAACAGTTCGTCGCAACGTCTCGTAATCTCTTAAAATGAATTGTTTTTGCTTAAAAGTCTTGGACTTGGAGAGAATGTTTCTTTGATCGTGTTCAGTTTAAAAATATACTTAGATAATAATAATTATTGGTAGTCAAACTTCATAAAACGGAAATTAAAATGTCAAAACATCGAGAATAATTGTCATTAGATTTATGAAATACTTTATATTTTAATGGTAATGTTAAAATACAGCTAGAGTTTTGATTATTTTTTGAAGTTGTACTTCTTTAGGCGCGTTATGAAAAATTGATGAGAGTGAAATTTTACGATTGCGCGCGCACCTATGACACAAAATTGGCAGTGTGATATAGCGTGCGCGAGCGAGATGGGAATAAGACAAACTACAAGTAAAAAGAAATAGAATATGCGTGAAGCTAACTTCACGCATATTCTAGCTTAGCAGCTTAACAAGAATTTTGAATGACCATGACAATTGACATCTGACAATGACATTTACCTTTTAAACAAATATAGGAGTTTTAATTATTGTTTAAAATTAATAATTATATACCTAGTTATTTTCATTATACAAAATATTTGTGAAATAATATAAAATATTTGTGAAAAAACTGTGCTAACCTTCCTGAGTGCTTCAATACAATTGAGGTTAACTATCCGTATGTATTATCGAGTATTATTGTTGATTAAAACTGAAACATGAACCATTATTCATTGCTTTTGTTTATTGCGTTTGTTACAGCAACTTTTTAGAAATATTCTACGACCCTATATATCAATAATTGAGAACAAAGATTTAAGCACGAATACTAATAAGGAGAAAATGAAGGCTTGGAGCGATATAACAGAGAAGTAAACATTTTAATAAGTACCTGCATCTCAAAAAAATGAGCACATTATTTAATCAAAACATCAGATTTAATCTAGCAAATATAAGGACAAGAGACAAAAAACAATTGATGAATCAGTGGAAGTGCACTAAATTGAATACAAAAAAAGAGTTGTCATCTTATCGCCGTGAAACATCAAAAACTGGAGGTGGAACAAAGCC